AGAAGGCAATTGTTGAGATAAGGAACTGTAATCATTTCCATAGTCTGAAGATAAGCTGTGACTAGACCCAGCACCTTGGAAAAATCTAGAGATGCCATAGGCAGACCAAAGGGTAGGACTGGGTATTGATAATGGTCTGAGTCTAGCATAAACCTTAGGAATCTCCTGTGAGTGGGATGTATTAGGATGAGGAAGTAAGCATCCTAGAGGTTAAGGACAGAAAACCAGCCCCCTTGTTGCAATGCTGGGATAATAGTGCATAGAGTGACTAGGCGAAAATGTTGTGTCTTGACAATTTTTTTCAGTCTGCGCACATCTATAATGGGCCTCCAGCCTCCTGATTTCGTTTGAGTTAGAAAGTAATGGGAGTGGAACCCTTTCCCCCTGTGGTGTTATGGGACCTGTTCTATGGCTCCCAATTCAGCAGATGGAGCACCTCTTGTTAAAGTAGCATCTTGTGAGAGTGGTCCCTGAAGAGGGATGGGGAGGAAAGGTGAGGGGGGGGTCTAGAGTGTGTAGCCCAAGAGGATGATATTGAGCACTCATGTCTCAGGTGATTGGTGGTAAAAATGGATGGAGGCAGTTTTGAAATGTGCGCATGGTCACAACTGGCATACAAACTTGGGTGAGTGTGGAGTTTCTAGGCCCTCAACCAAGGCCTCAAATCTGCTTCCTGGCAGATGATGGTTGGGATGCTGAGCCAGAATGTTGCCTGCGTTTTTGAGGGCGGGTTCTGTTCCTTGTCTGATTATTGTCTGGTCACTGATGGAGGTAGCCATTTGTAGAGTGGTAACAGTACTGCAGATGCCTGTTGGCAGGCGTGTGGATGCCATGGTGTAATGAGTGGCATGTGAGTCCTTTGTGGTGTTGAGCATCTTATTAGTTTTGCCAGCAAACATTTTGTTGCCATTAAAGGGCAGATCCATCACCGTAAATTAGATCTCTTGCAGAAACATGGTTGGGACGGACCAGGAGGCCCTTCATATAACAATGTTCATCATCATCAACCACCATGGGCTCAACGCCCGTTGGTATCCGATGCCTCCCTCACTATTTCCTTCTATCTTTCTCTGTCCAGTGCAGAGTGGCTTAGTTTATGTAGATTAACTCCGCCCCAATCTACTATATCATCTACCCATTCTCTGTGGGGTCTGCCTCTTCTATTCAGACCATCCATTATGCCAAATGCCAGGGTCTTAACTTTTCGCTCATCATTCATTCTCCAGGATTATATGGCCCAGAGGCCTAGCCCACAGGCAAGTCCCCTTCACTAGGGATAATATGGCCTAGAGGCTTAGTCTGTAGGCAGGTCCCCTCTACTAGGGATAATGCAGCCCAGAAGCCTAAGTCCAAAGGCGAGCCAGAAGACTTCCCCCACACAGGCTAGATATGGGGGCGGCAGGAGGCCCTGTTGGCAGTGGCACAAAATACTGCTTGCTCAGGGGGGAATTCTACTGCAACATACTGAGCGCCGGGAGAACAATTCCCCGCCCAGGGCTACATCCCTTGTCCACTGTTCTCCCTCATTGTCTCACTTAGGTGTTGTGGCTCCTTGGGCTGCCTCTCTTTCCCAGGGTGCTGCTGGGAGGTCTGGCTACGTCTGCTCCTCTGGATCTGGAGCTCTCTCCATGCCTTCTTTTTCTTCTGCAGTCAGCCCAGACTGAGTTGCTCTAGAGGCTTTTATAGTCTGCCTCTCCTGGGAGCATGCCCAGCAGGTCTGTGGAGGTGGGCCAACTCAACACCCTGATCCTCAGTGCAGGGTTGATACACCCGATCACACACCATACTGGCTATTTTACATAAACAGCATTTCACTGCAGTGGCAGTTTAAGTATTATACAAAAAGCAAAACACATTTGGCCCAGACATTCTCCTAAGTCTCCTCACATGTTCATGTTTTTTATCTGGCAACCATAAAATGATATTCTAAGCACAAGGCAGCTTTTTTTTTTATTTAAAAACAATTATGATAGTTCCTGTAAGATTTTAAGTTCAGATAGGTTTGCAGTGGGCAAGTTTGCAGAATGCATTTAATCCTACTCTCTTGACGTCTATAGGACAAAGAAAAGTGCTGTTATTTGAAATGTAAAATCCTAAATGTCTTGATGTGTGAAAGTTTTACTTGGATACAATTACATATATCTTTGCTGGCCTGTTACTTCACAGCTCTGCTAGACAGAAAAAAGCAAGGATCCCTCAAACAAACAAAGGAACTTTGGCAAGCATGCTTTTTCAAGTAAATGAAATAAGTGATTGCTGACAATTGCAGCTTTTGGAATGCGTACATACGCTGTAAAATGAGGTTATTTGTGTTGGCATATCATGAACATTAGTTGGACTAATCTTGATACGATACACAGCAAGGTTAATGTTCTACTGCAAAATGATTTACTGGATAGCATCAGTACTACCTGTAACAGAAGCACTTAATTTATTTTACTACCTACGAAACATCCTTCCCCGCCTTAACACTTCCAAGAGTCACCAAAGGCACAAAAAGGTACTTTAGATTTTACTGTTTATGGTCACTAAGGCTGAGTCTAGACTACACCTCTCTGTCGACAGAGAGATATAGATTAGTCATGTCAAAATTGCTAATGAAGCAGGGATTTAAATATCCCACGCTTCATTAGCATAAACATGTCCGCTGATTTTTTCAAAACTGAGCTTTTTAGGAAAAAATGGCAGTCTAGACATGGATATGCCAAAAATAAACCCTTTTTCAACAGATCCTGTAAGCCTCATTTTTTGAGATTGTATCTTAGACGTAGCATAAGTGTGCATCTCCACTGCACCCGGAGCTTGAAATAAGCTATGCAATTTGAGCTACACAAATTGCATAGCTTATTTTGAGTTAATTTTGAAACAGCTTATTTTGAAATTTGGTGCTGTCTACACAGCGCCAAATTTTGAAATAGACCATTATTCCAAAACGTCACTTACTCCTTGCGGAACGAGCTTTACAGGGATGTCAGAATAGCGAGCCCATTATATTTTGAAATAACAGGCTTGCTCAAAAGACACAGAATAGCTATTTCTGAATACTTCCATTATCCCAGAATAGCTCTGCAGTGTACATGTAGCCTCAAGGTTTTATCACACTTATCAAAAGAGCAGGGATTCTGCACGTACAGAATGGGTATTTTCAATGGAGCCAAGAACAGAGAGGATGCAAGGATTTTCCGTGAAGACAACACTTAGTTCTACCTCCCTCAATACTTTTTTAAAAAAAATCCTATGAATGTATCTTTGTATAACGGGAAATGAACATTTGCTACTGGCAATTTTTAAAATCTTTTTCCCCCCCTCTGTAGGCTTGTGCTTGGCTGCTGCATTCTATCATGCATTTGGCTGTGTTTTAAAACACCATCACTACCCTGCTATCACTCAGGCCCACAACCTGAGTACCATCTTTGACTCAGGATTCTCTCTAGGTCCTAACATCTAGGCTATATCTAAATCTTGCAGATTATTTCTGCAAAACATCTGTAAAACACCATCACAGGACCTAACCAGATCAGCCATACTGTCACTGGTACATTCTCCTGCACATCTACTAACGTAATATATGCCTGCCATCATGTGCCAACAATGCCCCACTGCTATATACATCGGCCAAACTGGACAGTCCCTACGTAAAAGAATCAATGGACACAAATCTGATATTAGGAATGGCAACATACAAAAACCTGTAGGGGAACACTTTAATCTTCCTGGACACACAATTGCATATCTAAAGGTAGCCATCCTGCAGCAAAAAAACTTCAGGACCAGACTTCAAAGAGAAACTGCTGAGCTACAGTTCATCTTTAAGTTTGACACAATCAACTCTGGATTAAACAAAGACTGTGAATGGCTCGCTAACTACAAAAGCAGCCTCTGCTCTCTTGGAATTCACACCTCCAGATCAGCTGCTAGAAGTGGGCCTCATCCTCCTTGATTGGATCCACCTCGTCATCTCTAGCCTGATCCTGGCCTGCATATTTATCCCTGCCTCTGGAAATTTCCACTACATGCATCTGACGAAGTGGGTCTTTGCCCACGAAAGCTTATGCTCCTACACTTCAGTTAGTCTATAAGGTGCCCCAGGACTCCTCGTCGCTTTTACAGATTCAGACTACACGGCTACCCCTCTGATAAAAAATAAAACAGTTACCTTGCAAGTATAAAAGACTTTCGACACTGAAATAGATAAAAAGCTATGTTGGTGCTCCTGAGAAATCACTATAGTTAGTAGTTGGTATTGAAAAACTGTATTTAAGATTTTATTTTAAACTTTGAATCTGTGACATAAAAGGTGATATAAATTACATGCCAGTGTAACTCAATCTAAGCTTGGGCTATTTAAATTCCAAAGGCCAACAGCAGTTAGATGTTAAAATAAACAATGATATGGCTTACTTAATCTTATATCTTCCTGTTAGTTACTTTTATACAGCTACACATTACAGCATAAGAAGTTTATCAGCTTTGACACTCACTTAAGCCAGGTCTACACTAGTCATAGAAGGTCAGATTAAGGTACACAACTCGTGGTTTACCTTAAGCCAAACTTGGCAAATGATCCAGTCAGCTTCCCTTACTCCTTGCAACTGTGTGCCGACTGGACCAACCCTCAGCATTCAGTTTAGTGGATCTTAAACTCTAGTGTGGAAAGTGAAGATGTGGCCTTAGACTCTATTACAGCTAGTGTCCATCTTATCTGTATCACACTTTGCATACCACCTCTGCATTTGGTCCATTGTCCTTATGTTGCACTTCCCTCCCACTTTTACGGCAAGGAGGGGAAAAAATCTGTCGAGAGAAAATGTCAACAACAACATTGAAAAAGGAAGGGTTTTAGTCCTTTCTCAATGGCATTTAAAAGTTAGTGTTTTAATAGTTACACTTAGGATGCAGAGCTATAAAAGGGTTTATTTAATATAAGTTTTATCACTTAAGTCATTCTTATGAGTTACACAGTGAACTATCCTGTTCAGGTTTAAAAAAAAAATCTTCAATGATCAATTATATCAATAATTTATTGTTTGCATAAAAAGGTAAAATGAGATTTCGGGCATGACATCAGTGAATGGATAGCAATTTCAAGTACAGAGCTGGATACAATAGTATAAAATGTTAACATTTGTTTTACTATGGCAAAACAGCAAAAATACAATGAAATATTTGTACTTGGACAGAAAAACATTCAATCATTTAAAAACCAAACTGCATAATTTGAAATTTCATAATATTTAAGATACATTTTGTCACATTTAACCATAAGAGCTTACAAGTCAGAAACACACAATACATTACTATTATCACAATGGAGGAAGTATCAACAAGTGTGTTTGCAAGTCGGTAAAATGGCCATGTTCTTGTCCAGTTAATAAAACTATCAAGCCAAAACATTTTCTGTCTTGACCAAGTACCATATATGGCAGCCTCACAGAGACCACTGGCTTCTACTTTTCTTGATGAGAACACACTGTAGTAAAGCTAGTTTTTAGAGATATTTATTGAAATGGACTGTCCCATTCTCCTTTCCAATGAAACTTTATTTCTAGGAGTTTAAAGATTTCCCCAAATTTGATTCCTTTCATTTGCTGTGTGCATACATGCTTTCATTTGTCCTTGTTCTCTCATCAGCAGTACAATTAAGAAATTAATCTCTTGGTAGGAAATCGGTATGTAAGCCTCGAGTATTAAAGTATTGTCATTGCCTCACAGAGGATCAGAAAGTAAGTCTTACTGTAAAAGGATCAAAGCATTGTGGGGCTTTCACTCTATCACCTCACAAAGTAAGCATATTGGATGAGGCCCTTCTTGACCCCCACCAACATGGTATTAAGTCTTAAAATTATTTCAAAAGGACACCACAGCTCCAGCAACAAGCCTGAAGGGCAGCCAAGACCCCTTTGTTTCAGACCATTTACAGCATCTGTTTCCCAAAGGGCAAAACAGTTTCCTTATTTAAAAGATATAGTACAATAGTGATCTGAGATGCTATAGTTTACTAGCAGTGTTAGCATATTGTTTCATACCGATCGTCCTTTGATGTAAAAGGACCAGACCCTGAGAGCTGCAGGGCACCCTCAGCTATTGCTGTCTGGAAACAACAACAAAACAACTTCCCACAAATGAGGACATTCCACATATCCTCCAATTGCTGGCCTCCAGTGATGTGCTAAAAAACATTCCTCTGTAAAAATAATTACATTTTGACTAATTAAAAATAGAGAACATTTCTCTGGCCCATACTAGAATTGTGATCTTTATGCAATTAATCTAATCACTGAGATGTTATGTACATTACAAACAACTGCAAGTCCAAGAGAAAACACAATGAAATCTGGCAGATATATTTGAAATTACATTAGACTATTCAACTATAGTATGTGTGTCAATACAGTATAGATCAATAATTCCAATACAAACATTCAAAAACTATTTTTATCTTGTTCCGCATTTCAATTGTTTTGCCTAATTTTAAACCAAACACAATGACCGCAATGCAAAATATGCATTTAGGATACAGCTGCCAAGAGCTGATGGCTTAAATCAGCATAGAAACTAAAATATTTACATGGAATGTTGATTTAATTTACAAAGATCGTGTTTCTAATTGCAGATACCAAGTACTCTATTATTTAGAAATGATCACATCAATGAGAAATTCAAGAACTTAATATCCTTTTTCAACTCTTTCATAAATATGTTTCACTAAATTGTTTTTTCTTTATATGTTAAGGTAAAATAACTCTGCTTCCTGTCTGAATGCTACATACATGATGATTTAAGTTAGCAAGTCCATCTAAACACTGTACCTGTACTAGAAATTCACGTGTACCATTAGGACACATGCTTTATTCTTTCATTATATGTGTACTCTCTTGCTCCATATCGTAGTAAATCAAGAAAAATACAAGGTTTATATATATGATTTATAATATATTTGCTTACTCCATTACATAGAAAGCTGAGGTTTCAAATATATCTGAGCAGTGTTAAAGGTGAATAATTTTCTTTGTGCAGGTTGAACCTCCCTTGTCCAGCACCTTCGGGACTGGAGTGATCCCAAACAAGGGAATTTGCGGGAGCAGGGGAGATCAGATGTCCAGGCTCTCCCTGGGCTCCCCTCATGGCAGCTGCCACAGGAGAACCCAGAGACCTAACCTCCTCCAGCCCACCCGCGTGGTCTGCTGCCCCCAGTCCACTTACAGGGCTCTGCTCCCTGGCCACGGCCCTGAGCAGAAGAGGCAGCTGCTCCCACGGTTCCATGTCCCTGCATGCGACGGCCAGTTGCTGCTCCCAGGGGTTTCCTAGCCCCATGCACTGCGGTGGCAGCTGCTCCTGAGGCTCTTTATTCCCAGGTCACTGTCCCTGCAGGCTGCCACCAACCAAACCAGTTCCACTCTCAGGCACTCTCAACTTCTGTGGCTGGGGCTCTCTAGTCTAGCAACTTCTGTGGTTCTGCCAGACCACAGATGTTGCCAGACCAGGGAGCCCTGCACAAGAGAGGTTCAACCTGTAGTGAAGTTTACAAATTTAAATTCAATAAAAAGCTTTCAAATCTAAAACAGTGCATTTTGACATGTTACATACGTTTCGGAACAAACATTGCTATGTATTTGTTAATAAAAGCAATTCATGCATTGCAGCTGCTTTCTCAAATCTCAAAGGTTACCCATAATAATTATCTTCAAACCTCTAATAAGTTAAAAGTATTTTAAAGGACACTAAAAATGTCTGAAGTTGATTTAAAGTTAAAACAAACAACCCTCTCCCCATAAACCCTTAATCAGAAACAAATCAGAAACAACTATTTATACCTATACCTCTGATTGTATAAATGATTAACCCACAAAGAAAGATTACATAAATAACCTATATTTTCCCCTTTTGAGATAGATATTCCCAAGTTGATGTGTCACAAAGCATGCATGCTAAGAGTTTCAAGATCTGCATATTTCACAGAAGAGCAGTAGCTGCAGAAGACTAGCTCTTTTACAGTACATTTTACAAGTAAGCCACTGAATACATCTCTCTTTTGGTAAAACATTTAAATACAAATGAACACTAGGATCATTCTGTACACATAAGATAAAGCTCACACTTTTAGGAAAGTAAAAAGACCCCTCTTGATACTTATCCCATTTAAAACTCTGATGTCTGTCCTACACAAAGAAATATTTGCCACTTTTGCCTGTTTCAATTCTCTTCAAAGTCCCTTAGTTAAAGTACTGAAAACCTCCAAATGCTCATGTGCAAGTTTATATGGCAGTAGCAATGTTTGAGACCACCATAGCATCCAGAATTAAATAATATCTGTGCTACCCCTCCACAAACAAAAGTCAACTTGGAGATTTACATGTAAACAATAAGGTGTTTAGTAGTTTTGGGCTCACGACTAACTCAGTATATAGTATCTGATTTGATGTGATCTTACTGCCTCCAAATTCTGAACAGGATGGTTTAAGATATGGAAAAAGAAGACACTTGCATTCCAATTATACCAAGTCCTTAACTACATGTCAGTTTGCCAACATTAGAAAACCAATTAAATGGCAATTAATTGTGTTCCAACCATGCACTTTATTAAAGAGATCACAAACTATCATAATTTATATTCCTTATTTATGGTACTATGAATGCAACCAGCTGACTGGAACCCAAAAGGTCTCTGTTTCCAATCTGTCAAAGGTTGTTTTCAGCTCATTGTAAGCTGTGGTAAGGTCATCGTTGACTATAACTTTGTCAAAGAGATGACCGTACTGGCTTTCCATCATCTGTGCAGATTTAATCATTTCTTGAAAATCTTCTTCCTAAGAAAGTCAATATAAGAAGTCAGTCAAAAGTACAATTGAATCAATTCACATCAGTGTCAAATGCAAATGTTCATGGACTGCTTTATTTAATTTCATACCGTTTATGTTAATTAAGACTGTAGTTGGAAGTTGTGCCAATGACCATGAACTTTTCAAAAACCATAATTTCAAATTAATTTTCTGTGAATGTTTTCACAACTCACTTTGGCTTGACAAGGCAATTCTTTCCCCTTTTCCCTCATAGCAGTGTAATAAGCTGCTAACTGATAATTACAGAGACATGTCTGTGCTAGAAATGCTAGAGGAAAAATGTTTTTAGCTACTTACATTAATGGTGCACTAACAACTGCATTACCTAAGTCTCAGGTTCCTATTAACAAGGGATTTATCAGAACACAGATTTTATGAGAACATGGATTTTTAAGAGCTTGGTAGGTGTCCAACAGGAAGTTTCTACTCGCTTCCTGTCAATCTCTTATTAGAACTAGATCAGTAGATTTATATTCATTTTGGTGAGGACCCCCTATATAGTCAATTGATTACATAACTAAGATGGAGTGATGAGACAAGAGCAAAGTCTTAAAACTATATTACTCTACTCTCCACTGAAAGCCCACTTTGGCATTTTACATATTATTCAATATATTACTGCAATGCAGAATATTAAAATTGTTGCAATAAGATATTAAATCAATAATCCACAAACAATTCTGCAAGAAAATTAAATATAAAAAATAGTTTAATCAAGGAAACAGACAAGGAATAAACAAAATGTGCTGATATAAAAGTCAGTCTGTGATAAGCTCTGTTGCATCTTTTATTAAATCTGAATTCATTATACTTCAGAAATTTTATCACAGTTTATAGATCAGATAGAATGATTAGCTCAGGTCTGGGGATTTTTTTAGACTTTTGCCTAAAAATCGCCATTTGTTTCTTGTCTCTATTTCATTTTGCCCATCTCCTTTCTTCCAGTTGTTTTCAATTTCTTCATTATATTTCAAATGTATCTGCAACATTTTTAAGCAGACAATACATACCTGATTAGCCTGAGAGAGAGAGAAGCATTTCTTCCCTCCTACTGGAAAGGAGCATATTTATCACTTTCTGGTGACTTGCCTTAGCTCACCTACCTTAAGAACATAATTTTAAGTAGAGATACCTAATTGCTTAAATACGATCCATACACATGTTTTGCAATGATTATGATGAGTGGGCTCTTGATAGAGATGTCACATGCTACCCTTTGGTGAAATTAATTGCATATATCTGACACAAAAGGATCCCTATAAAATTATATGTACTTCCTATGCCCATTGCTGGCACCAAGAGGTTCCTGGGTCACAGGTAATAGTATCTTCATTTAAAAAAAGAGAGTTCCAATGCCTAAGTGAAAATACCTCTGATTTTTCTTAACACTGTAAAAGTATTATTTATGCTGAAGACAGTGGCTTTATTTTGGCAACATTTATTTTTTTGCCTGAGTTGTGATTGCATGAAATGAAATAAGAAGCTAAGAAGCCCACTGTAGCTATGCAAAAGTGAATCTCACAAATCACCCCACTAGGCTCATGTAAAAAGAGAGACCCAAACACAAGTAGTATGTACACATATACATACACACACTTAAATGTTCAGTGACTTCATCTTCATAATAATTAGTTACAAAAACTCGTAACTGCTTCTCATACTCTGAGTGTAAAATATACTTACTGTAAAGGGTTTTGCAGCCCCTTTTTCATCTTTGCTTGAAATAATCTTGGCATTTTTCCTGGTCTCTCTTAAACGCTCAAGTGATGGAGGTTTTATAAATATCACAAATGGTTTAAATTCTAATGTTCTTAAATGCTTTATGGTCTGGGAAGGGGAAAAATTATAATTAATTAGTAACAGGGTTTGAATTCATTCCTTGCACTGCAGTTTGCAATAATAAAAGAAGTCTCTGCTATCACACTAAATCTATAAAGCATCTCTTGAAGTATATTTTTCATTCATTAGCATCCTACTTCTTTAAACAGAATGTATTCTATGCATCACCTATTGCTACTTGACTGAAAAATCTTGATTTCCAGAAACGTTACCAGTGTTGGTAAATCTGATCAGTCTGACAGAAGTAAATTGCTGGGGGTGGCAGGCAGAGAGGGACAGGAGACATGAGAGGAGAGTGGGAACACACAGAGAGCCCCATCTCTCCCAAAAGCCCTGCTAGAGAGGGATGCCTGCTGGCCCCCCTAGGAGGATTTGAAGACTGGCACTGGCCTAAGGTAAATTGCGTTTGAGACTCCTGCTCTAGGTCAAGGGCCATGAACCACTTTCCCGGATCTTGGATGAGATTATGATAGCTAGTGTCATCCTTATGCTAGTTTAAGTTCCTAAGCTCTTAAGGTCAAGTGTTGCTCTCTACTATTTATCTTTCTCGAGAACAAAGACATAATTGGAAAAAATGGTTACTTAGCTTTTTGTAACCATTGAGATATGTTGCACGTCCATTCCATGTGTGTGTGTCCACGTGCACAGTTGTTGGAAATTACTGCCTTGGCAGTATCTATAGGGATGGCTGTGTTGTCCCTCTGGAGTGGCGCACTCATGTGAGGGTATATCAGGCACTGCCAGCTCTACACACTCGCCGTTCCTTCTTCCTAACAACTCCGACAGAGGAGGAGGAGGACAGGTAACAGAATGGACATGAGCAACACATCTCAAAGAACTATTATGAATATGTAGGTAACCGTTTTTACTTCTTTGTGTGCTTGCTCCTATAAATTCCATTTTAGGTGACTCTCAAGCAGTATCGACAGAGGTGGGCTTAGAGTTCACAGCTTAGCAGGTTGCAATAATGCCCTACGGAAGCCAGCATCTTCTCTGTATCAAGTTCCTAATGGGATGTAAAGGTATGCACCGATGATCAGATGGCTGTCCTACAGATGTCCTGGATAGGCAATTAGGCCAGAAAGGCTGTCAAAGAGATCTGCATCCTGGTAGATGGGGTGGTGGGATCACCAGAAGTGGCATCTTCGCTTGATCACAGCACAAGTGAAAGAAGGCTATGATCAAAGAGGAAATCCTTTGAGGTATAGGGCAGCCTCTCATCCTTTTGGCTACAGCAACAAACAGTTGTATCAACTGACAGAATGACTTGGTTCTATTGATATGAGAAGCCTAGAGCCTTCCTGATGTGCAAGGAACATAGCCTGAATGCCTCCTCCCACTTTGGAAAGAAGATTGGCAAGGTCCTCTCTCAAATGAAACTGAGAAGGAAAGTTGTGTGCTGTCTTAGCTGGTCCCTGTCCTTAAAGAAGATTGTGTAAGGTCATTCCGAGGCGAGTGCCCAAATATTGAATACCTAGTGCATGATCAACATGACTAGGAATGTGACCTTCCAGGAGAGAGCAGAAGGCTAGAGTCTCGAAGTGGGGACCCATGAGCTATGACAGCATCAGATTCAAGTGCCATAAAGGAATGGGATCCTTGCTGTGTAGGTAGAGATGTCCAGGCCTTTAGGTGTCTGGCCATGATATCTTGAGTGAAAAATAACTGATCCTTGAAAGGCAAGCGGAAAGCTGAGATGGCTGCTAAATGCACCTTGACTGATGAGACTGACAAGCCCTGGAGCTTGAGATCATAAAATCATAGCATCATAGGGCTGGAAGAAACCTCGGGAGGTCACTGAGTCCAGCCCCCTATCCAAAGCAGGACCAACCCTAACTAAATCATCCCAGCCAGGACTCATCAAGCTGGAACTTAAAAGCTTCTAGGGATGGAGTTTCCACCACCTCCCTCAGTAATCCATCACGGTGCTTCATCATCCTCCTAATGAAAGAGTTTTTCCTAGTATCCAACCTAGACCTTCCCCACTGTAACTTGAGACCATTGCTCCTGGTTCTGACATCTGTCACTACTGGGAACAGCCTCTCTCCATCCTCTTTGGAACCTCCCTTCATGTAGTTAAAGGCTGCTCTTAAATCCCCCCTCACTCTTCTCTTCTGCAGACTAAATAAGCCCAAATCCCTCAGCCTCTCTTCATAGGTCATGTGATCCAGCCTCTTAGTCATTTTGGTTGCCCTCCACCGGACCCTCTCCATTGTGTCCACATCCTTTCTGTAGTGGAGGGCTCAGAACTAGACACAATATTCTAGATGTTGCCTCACCAGTGCCGAATAAAGTGGAATAATCACTTCTCTAGATCTGCTACAAATGTTTCTCCTAATTCACCCTAATATGCCATTAGACTTCTTGCTACAAAGGCACACTGTTAACTCATATCCAGCTTCTCATCCACTGTAATCTCCAGGTCCTCTTCTACTGAACTGCTGCTTAGTTTGTAACAATGCTTGGGATTCTTCCATCCCAAGTGCAGGACTTGTCCTTGTTGAACCTCATGATTTCTTTTGGCCCAATCCTCCAATTTGTCTAGGTCACTCTGGACCCTATCCCTACCCTCCAGCATATCTACCTCTCCCCCTAACTTACGGTCATCCATAAACTTGATGAGGTTGCAATCCATCCCCTCATCCAGATCATTAATAAAGATGTTGAACAAAACCTGCCCTAGAACTTTGGGGCACGCTTCTTGAAACCGACCGCCAACCAGAGCCATTGATTGCTACCCGTTGAGCCCAACAATCTAGCCAGCTTTCTATCCACCTTACAGTCCATTTATCCAATCCATAATTCCTGAACTTGCTGGCAAGAATTATGTGGGACACCATATCAGATGAGGAAGGAAATCTAGAATGAGCTGCAATGAATTCAGCTTGAGACAGACACCTTTATCTACAATCCAGCAAGTGAACAGTTTCCATTTGGCCATGTAAGTCGCTCTGACTTCCCAACAGGACTCACTGAACCTCAGCTGAGTGCTGCTGCTCCTAAGCATTTAACCATGCAGCAGCCAAGCAGTCAGACATAGTGCCACCAAGTTCAGGTGCAGAAAACTGCTGCTGTTCTGGGATTACTGAGACGGCTCAACCAGTGTTGGCGCAGCTAGGCCGGTGCTATGAGGATGACCTTTGCCCTGTCCTATTTGATTTTAATGGGGATCCTGGACGGCAATGGTACCGAGGCATCAGAGCATCTGTCCACTGGAGCAAAAAGGGGTCCAACAGAGACGTGACATTTTCTATTGTGCCTGGATGTGATGAGATCCTTCCAGAGTTCCTTATTTATGGAAGATGGAACTGACCATCTCCGAAAGAAGGGAACACTTGTGGTGAAATGAGACTATTCTGCTGAGGTGATCTGCCATAACATTCTTTGTCTCTGGAAGGTGAGGGGCTACACAAAGTAGATGCGCTACAGACAGAGTTCTCAGGGCAAGAGAGCTATGCCGTCTGTTGATACAGATGTCTTTAGTCTTGCTGTCCATCAGGACCTGAACTACCATGCCTTGTATATGGGGTAGAAGGGCTTGGCAAGTTAGGTAAACCATCCTGAGTTTCCTGATGTGGATATGCAATGAACAATTGTGAGTGGATCAATGGCCTTGGTGGGGGTTGCCCAGATACACTCCCCATCCAGGTCCGAAACATTAGACACAAGCGTCACTGATGAGGTTGGGGCTGCAAAATGGACCCCTTCCAGCAACAACATAGGGTCCTTCCTCTATATGAGAGATGACAGTACACTTCAGAATTCTGACCACTTGGTCCATGATGTGCCGGTTGGGAACACAGACTCATACCAGCCACTCATGTAGGGATCTGAGGCACGTTTTGCATGCTGAACCATGTAACTGCATGTTGCCATGTGACCCACAATCTCAGGCATCTGTGGACAGTGGTGAACAGGTGGGATTGCAAATGAGGTGCACCATATTTTGGAATTTGGGAGGAAGGCCCTGAAATGAGTGGAGTCAAGCACTGCTCTGATCAAATTTATATGTTTCACTGAAGTTAGGATTGACTTTTTCTTATTTATTATCAGCACCTGGTCCTGTCGGTGGAATGAACCAGGCTGACATGCCTTTGCACACTTTATCCATCAGTTGTTGAGGTATGAATAAATCTGGACCCCTCAACATCACAAGTAATTGGCTATTGGTGTTAAGCATCTTGTGAATACTCTTGGAACTGAGAAGAGACTAAAGAGCATTGCCATGAACTGGAAGTGATACTGGCCCAGAATAAAATGGAGGATGCGTTGGAGCCCTGAAGATGGAAAAAAGGAAGTATGCATAGGGAGGGATACCAGTCTCCAAAATCCAGAGAGGATGATGAAGGCCAGAGCGACCCTATGGAACTTCAACTTCTTGAGAGATTCATTGAGGTGACATAGGTCCAGAATGGGTCTGAGGTTTCCTTTTGCTTTTGGAATTAGGAAGTAACAGGTGTAGAATTCTCCTCCTTCCCTGTTCCAAGGAACCTCTTCCACTGCCCCCAGATAAAAAAATTGTTTGGTCTCCTGAATGAGGAGTTGCTCATGACAGACATTCCTGAAGAGGGATGGGATAAGGGAAAAGGAGGTTATAAGGGAAAAGGTTGGTTATAATTTTCAGGATGTAGCTTGACAAAACTGTATGGAGCACACTGTGGTTTGAGGTGATATGGACCAGGTCAACCAGAAAGGGCAGAGGTTGTGGAGAGAATGGAGGGTAGTAGATCTTGGATGCTGGCTGGAGCGCTGTCCTCAAGTATATCCTCAAATTGATTGCTTCTGGCCTTCCTGACTTCAGGGAAGGTCAGGATGAGCAGGAAGAGGAAGGAAAGCATTTCTTAGGTCATTTGTCCCTCCTCCTGTTGGAGACTAATTTGGAAGCTCCCCAGATTTAGATTGTGTTGGAGGAGGAAGGATAGGGGACAGAACAACTTCATGCACTGCTGATAGGTGTGCACGCACAAGAAGGGGAGGGTAATGGAGCC